AGGTCCATAAGCCATAAGCTCATCCCTTTAAGAGCGAGAATAAATAAAATAAAAATTAATGTATCCGATAAAATTATCCCTAATCTGTTATACTCAATTCTTAATTGTAACCCAATATAATCAATTTTAGTTTCCAAAAATCCAATTTGGGCTGTTATTTTTTTTTTTAAAAAAAATTAAAAAATTATTTTTTTGCGGGGAATCTCTAAGGCGCGGGTTCTTTTACGCCCGCGCCGCCTCCCCGGAGTATTTAATCACGAATTCGCGGTCTGCTTTGCAAGTTTCGACAATGATCCTTCTGCAGGTTCACCTACGAAAACCTTGTTACGACTTCTCCTTCCTTTAAATGATAAGGTTCAGTGGACTTCTCGCGATGTCGCGGACAGCGAACCGCCCACGTCGCCTCGATCCAAACACTTCACCGGGCCATTTAATCGGTAGGAGCGACGGGCGGTGTGTACAAAGGGCAGGGACGTAGTCAACGCGAGCTGATGACTTGCGCTTACTAGGAATTCCTCATTGAAGACCAACAATTGCAATGATCTATCCCCATCACGATGAAATTTCAAAGATTACCCGGACCTGTCGGACAAAAGGCTATAAACTTGTTGAATACATCAGTGTAGCGCGCGTGCGGCCCAGAACATCTAAGGACATCACAGACTTGTTATTGCCTCAAAATTCTGCGGCCTAAAAGGTCGTAGTCCCTCTAAGAAGCTGGCCACGAAGGGATACCTCCGCATAGCTAGTTAGCAGGCTGAGGTCTTGTTCGTTAACGGAATTAACCAGACAAATCGTTCCACCAACTAAGAAAGTCATGCACCACCACTCATAGAATCTAGAAACAGCTCTCAGTCGGGTCCGCTACCTTAACGGGCCATTGAATTACCATGATTTACATTTCTCGATCAAATACTTGTCGGACCAAGGGATGGGAGCCCTGGAGACGAGGGATTTCGCCTTTTGGTACACTAGAAACAGCTCTCAGTAGTAGAGAAAGAAAGTTAGTGAGAGAAAGTCTCCAAACTCTCTAATTTCCGACCGTTGGAGGCGTGCTTCCCCTTTCTCTACGAAGAACATTCACCAATTCATGTCCCAAATTGGCTATTTCTTGTAATTTCTCGATTCCAAGTTACAAGAAATCTACACCACAACTCTCTCGCTGTTTGATTTTACCCATAAATCCTATTTTCCCCAAATCTGCGTCTATCGCAATTTTGGGTCTGCATCTTTTTCGATTTCGCTTTTTTCTTGCTGTAATCCATGGGAAATTACAGAAATAAGCATAGAGGCACCACAAGCAAGTCAACGCAGATGACCCAGAGCAAAAAACCCATCACCGAAGACGAAGGATCTGCAATTGAATTCACGAAAGAAAAAGGGGCGTTCTTTGCCAAGAGCACCGACGAACAATTGAATGGCACCCAGGCCTGTGAAGAATCTTCCTTAGCATCGATTATGAAGCAGAACCACGATTATCAGCCTATCGCAGATGATACTCATCCCTCAATCGAAGATTACAACAGTTCTTCATCTGCGTCTAGAAGAGAATTCCCTTGTGATGCTGACTCTGTTAGCACAAGGATGGTCGATCCAAAAGAAACTCTTCCACAAACAGCTGTTCCAACTAGTGCAGACAAGGTGTTCGATGAAATGCCACAACCAACTCGTCAAGAACAGAATTCTGCTATACCTCCCAAAGCCCCATACAACTCATTATTTGCGAAGAATAGGGTGCCTAAACACGGATTTCAGCTCACGAATCTCCCCTCAGACGATGAAGAAGATATGATTTTCCAACCTTCCGATGAAACTGAGATTGAGCAAACCTTCGGCATCTGTCTCGTTGGATATTTTGCTGGAAAATTCCAGGGGAAACAGGCTACAAAATCCATGATAATGGCTGGTTAATATTCACGTTTGAGATGGAAGAAGACAAGAAGAAAGTGCTAGAAGGAGGCCCGTATACCATCTTCAGCAGACAGTTGCACCTCAAACCAATGGCGAGATACTTCGACTTTGACCCCAGTGAGATGTGCATAGTTCCGGTGTGTGTTAAGCTCCATAACTAGCCTCCCATTTACTGGAATGAGGTGGCTCTGAGTCGATTTGCTAAAAAGATAGGTACCCCGATTTACCAACTCACCGTTAAGCATCCTTTCTTGTCATATTCGTGCCGTTTTGCAGGATTGCTCAACACTGTTCCCCAACACAGTTGAGAAATATTCCAATGTAAGTCACGTTTTATTACAACCGGTATTATTTTATATAAAAAAAACATTGTGTATAATAGCAACAAAAATCGGACTTAAAATCCTGGCTCCGCTTGATTACAACATATATAAAAGTTGAGACCGTTGGCTGTAGACTTAATGATAAGCTCAAATATTCGAATTTATCTCAAGAAATTGTAGATCTTTACATGCACGATTGATTACTTAATCGATCATTATTACATATATTGGCTAATTACAAGGTTATTAAGGTTTTGTGTTTAAATTAGTAACACTCTGACTTACCCTGTAAAGACGTGTTTACGCATTCATACCAACGCTATTTTCTATTATATTCCGACGTGTAAAAAAGTAGACACGATACAAGGTTCGAAAATGGTAGGAAAATCAACAGGTACCATGATTCCGGCACGATTCTTGCCACATCAATCAATGTTGGTTTGTTATTTTTTTTGCCAATGTTTCCTATTTTTCTAGGTTTTGAAAACCAACATAATTTTTAGGCATGTAAAGAAACAGAATTCATTAGGTTTTTTTGCCTTGTCAAATTCTCCCATTCGTCAAAGCTTGACGTCGGTTATTCAAATTGACTCCGTCGATAATATTTCAAATTATAATTCTAAATTCCCAACTAACAATTTACCAGCGACAAAAATAAATAATAAATAATAAAAAATAATATAATTAAAAAAAATAATCCCAAATTACCCTGATAAGCTTCATTGATATCTTGAAATTTTGAATTGGCGGCGTCTTCATCCTTTTGTTATCAGGATGCCATTTCTGGGGGATAACATAAATAAAATAAGAACAACACACCAAAATAAAAATTTGAAAAAAAATGTAATAACAAGAGAGAGAGAAAGAGAGAGAAATTGAATACCAAAGCAAGACGGATATAATTGGAACGAATTGCTTCGTCGGAGGCATCGTAATCAACCTCTAATATTTAATAATAATCCTACACCACCAAATTAATTGCACTTATCAATGCTAACAAAATTATCTACATATATTCAAATTAAAATTTAAAATTGAAAAATTGATGCAATTGAGAGTAGAAGGGGGTAATGTGATATCGAGCCAAAGTACAAGAGGGCAAATCGATGAATTGAGAGTAGAAGGGGGAAAAGTGATATTGAACAAAAGTACAAGGGAGCAAATCGATGCAATTGAGAGTACAATGGGTAAAGTGATATCCAGCCAAAGTACAAGGGGGTAAAGTGGAATTTACCTTTTTTATAAGTATTCAAATGTCTATTTTTGTCATGATGCCCTAGTTGCTGAATCAATTGTGTTATTCATGTTGATTGTATTGCTTTCTCTTGTTTATGTGACATTGGTTATATCCCCTTGTAGCTCTTTTATTCATATTTAATGTCATTAGTTTTGCGCATAAAAGAATTTTAAACAAATCAAAAAAACAAAATATAAATGTTTAAAATAAAATAAAATAAAACAAAAACTTATTCAAGGTTATAATTAAAGCAGGCATAGTTGAAGAATACATAACAGTTCGGTGAGTCAAGGGGGTTGACCCTATCTTCTTCACATTCTTTACAATATCCACCTGTTAAATACAATCTTTCTTATAGGTAAATAAATATGATACTTACCTCGTGTCCGTTCTTTAATATTCAAAACAACATAGTTTAAGGAATGGGGCACAAGGATTGAGAAAAAATAAATTCAGTAACAACAAGAAAATAAGTTGGTACATTTAGGAAACAAAAAAAGAACAAAATTACCAGGGCATAAACAACAGTCATTGCAAGATAATAATATCCTTAATCCAGAAAATATAGCATAATATTTTAGAAAACAAGAACCTAGAGCAGACACACAGAGACATGTTTTAAAAATGTAAAATAGGTAATAGCAAAATTATGAAGATTAACGATAACGACGAAGAGAGAGGGTCTGGTTCCTCTTCCAGGTAGCCCTTCTTGAAGGACGTGCTTTGTGGTGCAAGTGACCTCTGCCCCTAAGTCCTCTGTATTTCTTTCCAGCCGAAGTGAGCCCGCGAAGCTCTCTGTGTTTGTGAACTGGATTGCAGATCCAGTTGATTCTTGGGTCATTGCGCACAGTTGTATGCGCTGGATCGACCAGAATCACCTCAAAGTACTTGTAAGTCGAATCCTGCAGTGAAAACAACGAGTTTCCAAAAGTACTTATGTTAGCTCATTTTAGGTAAAAAAAAATGCACTTCATCTAGATTTTGAAGGGAGAAACGAGGGTCAAGAATGGAATTTTGATTTTGTTTTTGGAAATTATTTTTTACTCGATCGGATACAAAATACTTGCATGAGTAGTCATGCAGTGAAAACTAGAAGCTTAATAAGGATTTAGCTGTATGGCTGATAACTAGAGCTTCGGATTCGAATTAAATATTAACAGTTAGTAAACATGAATGTTTGATGGTACTTAAATCAACTAGCTTAAGCTCATAGTCAAGCAAAAAATCAGTTCATTTCTACACTAAATCAGGATTACTTACCACACGTTTCGTCTTAACTAAAAATAGAATGACAAAAGAGAAATAGAAGAGTGAATGATCAAGAAATTGAAAACAAACCTCGTTGATCCAGTAAGAGTTAAGAACCCTAAGACCAGCCAGTTTCCTTCCAGCACGTTCCTCAGCGACCGAGCGCTTGCTGCGCTGGAACTTGAGCTGAGTAACTCCCTGGTTAGTGGGCTTACCATACACAATACCCTTGGGAACTGGCCTCTTCCTTCCACCACGTCTAACACGCACACGGTACACCACATACCCCTGAAAGGTCAAACTAATTTGTTAATTCCAGATACATTACGAAAAAAGATAGTACAGAAAGAGCTTGCAAATATACATATATGCAAGCCGGGACACAATGAATACTTCTTTTTAATTAACTTGAGGATATGCTATATTTAATTTATAGTAACAACATATAACAGAGGAAACAACAACTACCAAAATACTACTGTAAAGTATAAATGAGAACTGTGTGTCCATGTTTACATACACTGACGTATAAATCACATGGACCGACAAATTGCATTGACCACCTACGTTTTATATAAGTGCACAATGGAATCAAAACAAAAGATTAGCAAACTGTATATATCTCGTTCGTCCCATGACAAAACTCATTTCAAATCGGTTATTTTTTAGGTTTCGACATAGTTTAGTATAAGAGATAGCATTAACTCTTGAAATTAACAATCACCAATCTAACAACAGTTGATTGACAAAAAACAAAAATGTCCTATAAACAATCAAAATTGAAGCCGCTTCCTCAAAACCCTAAAATTGGAGACAACAGAAATATCATATCATAAACAAACACACACGCATTTCTTCACGGAACTAAACACAGGGTTCATCATAGATTTAAGATCATGCGAAGGGTAAAAAAAAAGGATATTCGTACCTGCTTGGCCTTGTAGCCGAGGCGGCGGGCCTTGTCGGGGCGAGTGGGGTGGGTGACACGTACAACAGCGGGAAGCTGACGGTACTCCCAACAGCGAACCCTAAGCAAAAACCGCATCACATCGGATTGCTTCTTCTTCCATAGCTCAGAAACGTAAGTGTAGGCACCTGCCAATGAGAAAATTGAATCAAACTCGCTATTCCTGAAGAAAAAAAAAAGACGGGAATTAGGGTTCGGAGGAAGAAGAAAATAATACCCATTACAGTCGCCGCTGCGCGTTCACCGCCGAGATGAAAACGGAACTGAAGTGGAGTGGAATCAAAAAATGCTAGGGTTTCGGAGTTATAAGAACAACCCTGCCACATGGGCCAGGCCCAATCCGTTAGTCCCATTATATTTATTTTTTAGCTCTTGGGCCTCAAAATAGAATTAAACTTTGATTCAAGGAGCATCTTTTTTTTTTTTTAATCTTTGAAATTAAAAAAATAAATAAAAAAATAAGTAAAACAGACAGAGAAAAATAAAGGCTAAATAGCACTTAACCCCTTTGTGGTGTGGACATTTTGCACATGATCCCTTATGGCATAAAATTAGGCACATAACCCCCTTGTGGTTTGGACATTTTGCACATGACCCCTTATGGTATGAAATTAGGCACATAACTCCTTGTGGTTTGGACATTTTGCACATGACCCGGGTTAGCCGTTGTCCACGAAGTTTGGACCGCAACATTCAAACCACAAATAGCAAATAAATGGGTGATTATGCCCATTAACTTGATCACAAACCGGTGGAGTACTGAACCTCCGACGATCGGTGCTTAAGCTGCTAAAAGCCATAGCTGTTAAAATTTAGATTTTTTTTAACCTCCAACAAAATTTGAGGGCTTATTTTATAATTACAGAAAAATGGGGTGTTGTCTAAATGAAAGAATGAGTGGTGCAACCAATATTTACAAAG